AAAAGCAGGACCGGCTGAGAGAAGAGCCTATATTAAGGCTTGGAGGCTTGACAAAGCCTGAGTGAGGGCTTGGGGCATGGGAGGATGGGAGGATGAAGGAGGAACAGACGAGAGTGAATGGAGAGACTGAAGGGAGGTTGATGGGAAGGTGGATGAGAGGATGGATGGAAAAATGGATGCAGGGGTGGATGGGAGGATGGATGAAAAGACGGATGGAAAATGAATGGGAGCATGAATGAAGGATGGATGGGTGGAAAGATGGATGGGAGGATGGATGACAGGATGAATGAAGGGTAGATGGGAAAATGGATGGGAAGATGCATGGGAGGATAGACAGAGGAATGAATGGGAGGATGGATGAAAAGACAGATGGGAGGATGGATGGAGGATGTGTGGGGAAGGCGGGGAGGATGGGTGAAAAGATAAAAGATAGATGCAGGATGGATGGGAGGATAGATGGAGAATGGATGGAGGATGACTTAGAAGATGAATGAAAAATGGATGGAGGATGGATGGGAGAATGGATGGGAGGATGGTTGAAGGATGAATGAAAAGATGGATGGCAGCATGAATGGGAGGATGCATGGAAAGATAGAAAAATGGATGGGAGGATGGATGAGAAGATGGATAGGAGGATGAGTGAAGAACAAGATGGAGGGAGAATGGATGAGAGGGTGAATGGAGAATGGATGGAGGATAGAGGGGAGGATGGATGGGAGGATAGATAGAGGGTGGGCAGAGGAATGGATGAAAGATAAATGGAAAGAAGAATGGGAGGATTGACGGGAGGTTGAATGGGTGAGTGAATGAAAGATGGATGGAGATGGATGAAAGATGGATGGAGAATGGCTGGGAGGATGAATGAAAAGACGAGTGGAGAATGAATGGGAAGGTGGTTGAAGGATGAAAGGAAAGATGAATGGGAGGATGTATGGGAGGATGGACAGAAAGATGGATGGGAGAATAGATGGAGGATTGACGGAAAAAAATGGATGAGAGGATGGATGCAGAATAGATGGAGGATGGATGGGAAGGTGGAAGGAGGATGAATGGAGGATGAACAGAGGATGGATGAACGATGGATGAAAAGATGAATGGAGAATGAATGGGAGAATGTATGGGAAGATGGTTGAAGGATGGATGGACAGAGGAATGAATGAGAGGATGGATGGAGAACAGATGGAGGAAGGGTGAGAAGGTGGAAGTAGGATGAATGGAGGATGAACAGAGGATGGATGGAGGATGGCTGGGAGGATGGATGAAAAGTTAGATGGAGAATGAATGGGAGGATGGTTGAAGGATGGATGGAAAGATGGATGGGAGGATGCATGGAAGGATAGACAGAGAAATGGATGAGAGGATGGATGGAAAGACAGACGGGGATGGACAGAGGAATGGATGGGAGGATGGATGGAAAGATGGATGCGAGGATGGATGGAGAATGGATTGAGGATACATAGGAAAATGAATGGGAGGATAAATGGCAGGGTGAACAGAGGCATAAATGGAAGATGGATGAAAAGATAGATAAGAGAATGAGAGGATGGATGAGAGGATGAATGAAGGATGGGTGAAGGATGGATGAAGCATGGATGGAGGATGACTGGGAGGATGGGTGAAGAGATGAATGGGGGATGGATGGGAGAATGGATGAGAGGATGGTTGAAGGATAAACGGAAATATGGATAGATGAATGAAGGATGGATGAGAGGATGGATGGCAGATGGACAATGGATGGGGGATGGATGAAAGGATGGATAGGAGGATGATTGGAGGATGGATGGGATGATGAATGAAGGATGGATGAGATAATGGAGGGAGAATGGATAGATGGGGAAATGGATGGATGGGAGGATGGATAGGATGATGGAGGGAGAATGGATGGAAGGACAGCTGAAGGATGGATGAACAGATGGATGGGAAAATGAATGAAGAATGGATGGGAATACGGATGGAAAGATGGATGGGAGAATGGATGGAGGATGGATAGATGGGTGGAAGGATGGAAGATGGATGGAAAGATGAAGGGTGGATAGATGTGAGAATGGATAAAGGATATAAGGGAGAATGAATGGCAGGATGAATGGGAGGATGGACGGCTGGATGGATGGAAAGTTGAATGGGAGGATGGATAGGAAGATGTATGGGAGAATAAATGAAGAATAGATGGGAGAATGGATAAAGTATACATGGGATAATAAATGGGAGGATGGATGGGAAGATGGATGGAAGGATGGATGGTAGGATGGGTGAAAGATGATGAACGAAGGATGGATGGGTGAATGCATGAAAAGATGGATGGTAGGATGGGTGAAGAATTGGTGGAAAGATGGATGGAAGGATGGAGGATGGATGGAAAGATGGAGGGAGGATGAATGAAGGATAGATGGGAGAATGGATGGGATGATGGACAGAGGAATAAATAGGAAGATGGATGGAAAGATGAATGGAGGATGGATAGAAGGATGTATGGGAGAATTAATGAAGAATGGAGGGGAGGATGGATGGAAAGATGGATGAGAGGATGAATGAAGGATAAGTGGGAGGATGGATGGGAAGAAGGATGGGGAATGATTGGGAGGATGAATAGAGAATGTATGGAAAGATGAGTGGGAGGATGGAGGGGGGGGGGGGGGGGGGGGGGGGGGGGGGGGGGGGGGGGGGGGGGGGGGGGGGGGGGGGGGGGGGGGGGGGGGGGGGGGATGGATGGATGGATGGATGGAAAGATGGATGGGAGGAAGAAATGGGAAGGTCGATGGAGGATAGATGGGAAAATAGATGGGAGGATTGATGGGAGGATGGATGGGGGATGAGTGGAGGATGGATGGAGGTTGGTTGAGGGATGAATGGAGGATGACCGAGGGGATGAATGGAAAGATGGATGGAGGATGAGTGGGAGATGAATAGGAGGATGGCTGGCAGGATGGATGGGTAGATGGATGATAGATGGGTAATTGGATAATGGATAGGGGATGGTTGAAGATGGATGGAAAAATGGATGGGAAGATGAACGGGAGGATGGATTGGAGCATGAATGAAGGATGGATGATAGGATGAATGGAGCATGAATGGGAGGGAGGATGGTAGGATGGATGAAGTATGGATGGGAGAATGGGTGGGTGGAGGGGCAGGAGGAACAGAGGAGGGGCTGTTTCACGCAGTTATGCCCATGAGCTATGGCGACAGACCAGGCTAGGATTCAAACCCCAGCTACTCTATATGATAGTAGTGTCATCTTGTGTAAGTTTTGTAACCTCTCTGAGCCTCAGTTTTCTTGGGCGGGAGGACAGACAGGAGGAAATGCAGATGGAATGATTAAGTGAGTACTCTAATACATGTAGAATACTTAGGATAGGCCCTGACACACAGTCGGTGCTTAATAAATGTTCACTCGATGATTGCATCGTATGTTCTGAACTCAGCCTTGGGGACGTGTGTGAGGAGTGAGACGCTGGGGCTGCCCTCAGGGACTCATCGTCCGCTAAGCAAAGTGATCAGTTCCGATTCAGGGCCCCTTGGGATGGTCAGGGAAAGGGCCCCATGGGTGGCCTGAGTCGGAAGGAAGGAAGGGGGGGAAATGATCATGAATCTGTATTGACCAGGCCCAGGGTCAAGGTGTTGGCAGCCGCAGAATACTCAGGGGACCGGGAAGAGGGCCTGGCTGGCCCTGAGGGGCATCAGTGCTGGAGGCCTGGAGACCAGAGGAAAGCCAGGGGAGGGTGGGAACCAATGTGGCAGGGATCAAAGGGGAGAAGAAAGAAATGGGTCATTCGGATTTGGCCGGGGATTTCTGAAAGAGCCGTTTAGTGGCAGTGGGGCTGGGAGGCCATCAGCTGAGGACCGCAGTGAGGGCTGAGCAAGAGGGCAGAGAGTGGTTCACGCCATAGCAGCTGCTTTCAAACACCAGAGGGGCTACTCTGACAGTTCTCTCCCTTGCTCAGGCAGAACCAGGGCCCGCCCCCTCCCCCACGTGCATTTCCAGGCCTGCCCTGGGTGAGAAGCCTCCTCCGGTTCACGATGTGCGCAATGACCAACTGCGGGCTCTGGCTGGGTTCTGACAGTCTGAGCCCCATTTGGGTGGACCGGAACACAGAGGCCTCTCCTCCCCAGGAGGGAGCCGGCCATGGGGACAGCCTTTCCCAGCAGGCTGTCCTGGAGAACCACCAGCCAGGCGGCGGGCCTCTTCCTGCGGTGGCCCACACTCTCAGGATGTGAGAGACGAAGTATGAAGGATCTGAAGTGGGGGCTCTGTGTCCAGGGAACTGCCAATCTGTCATTTGATTGGGGCCAAGAGCCCCCAGGGGATCCTGTCCTGAAGTTCTCTGATGCTATAGCCAGGGCAGGGCCCCTCTTGACCTCCTCCTGTCTGCTTCTGAGGCCCCAGGGAGGGTGGCAGGCTCCCCGAGGGTCACCTGATCTCAGTTTCCGGTCCTCTGTGAGGCAGAGCTGCCTGGGGTCCCCCTTGCCCACCTGGCATCCCGAGGTGACAGCTCCGGTTGATTTGCCCCTCACTTCCCTCCTCTATGTTACAACTTGCCATATTTTGTGGCCCGAGGGCTGAGAATTCCAACAGGCAAGAGCAGGGATGGGACCGCCCACCCAGTTCCAGTCGTGTGTCTTACTAATTATGCCACACACTGGAAAACTTAATTAAATCGATGCTCGGTGTGTAATTTCAACTAGTTTGGAAGTCGGGGGAAATCAAACAAACAGCCGCGTGGCCCAGCCAGCCCCCTGTCACCTTGGCAAAGTCCCGCTGGGTCCCGGGTGCTGGGGTCCCGCCCTGTTCGGCTGTGGTGAAAATGCCTCCTTCTCTCAGGGTCCCCAGAGGAAATCCCTGCTCCCTCCACTCTGCAGCCTCAATTACAAACACGCACACACATATGCCCCACAGACGTGCACATGCACACACACACACACATGCACGCATATACACAGCAGGAGCTGCAGGAGGAAGCCCGGCAGCCAGCGGGGACCCAGGAGGGCGGGAACACCCCAAGAACGAGGGCTGGTTTTCGTTTATTGCATTAAATGGTTATACAGACAGCAGGAGAAATACACAAGGAAGGCCAGGCGCCCCAAACGCACGTCCAGCGCCTGAGCTTCCTGGCATTCATTTCCAAGTCTCTCTTGGACCCTCCTCCTCCTTCTCTCTGTTCCTCTTTGGGACACACCTGTGCTGTATGTTCTGCATGGAGGGGACCTCAGCCACAGGCAGTCCTTGTCCCACAGGGGCCCAGGAAGAGCGTCCCGGTAGATGGCAGTGGCAGAGGGAAAGAGAGAGGTGGAGGGGACAGGAAGCCACTGCTGGGCTGGACCTGGGCGTCCTCTCGTTCATCCCTGTGTGGGGTTTTGAACTGTGTACTCTGTCAACAAAGAGAATTTGGAGAAAAACAGAAGAGGGACTCCAAGGCAGTGGGAGAAACTCAAGTGAGCATTTACTCAACAGCTTCCACCACCAGAATCTTTCTCCGGGGCTGAAGATGTGTGGGGTGGCACACAGCGTCACACACGACAGGCCCTGCGGAGGAGACGCGGTACCATGAGACGTGAGGGGACACACAGACGTCAGGAGAAGAGAGTCACGGAGAGCGAAGTGCTCCAGGCCAGAGCCTGTGGCCTCCAGCTCACCTTAGAACAGTCCCCAGAGACCGCCCCTAGTTCGCAGGTGAGGAAACTGAGGCCTGGAGACCTGAGTCAGTGCGCGGCAAACATCGAAGCGAATTTGAAGAGGCTCAGCCTTGGTGGGTGGCTGCGTGCTGCTGAAATGTGACTGAAAGGGCACACAGGGACAGGGATGGTGCTCAGGGCAGGCCTCTCAGGGGGGGTTTGAGCTGGGGCCCAATGAACCAAGTGCTGGCTGTGGGCTGGGCACAGGGCTTTTTTTGGCAGGCATCTCACTTCTGGGTAGCCTGCCCATGGCTGCATTCTAGAGACCAGGAGCCTGAGGCCCACAGAGCTTATGGAGCAGCCTGCGTTCTCAGGGCTGGAGAGAGCAGCCGGGGGCTCAGACCTCGCTGTGCTGTGTTCGCCCATCCACCAGGCTGCCCTCTTCTCACAAGGCCACGTGCTCCCAGCACACAGGAGGAGCCCAGATGGGAAAGGGCTGGAGCATGAACCTGACAAGGCCTTGCCTTCGGAGGGGCAAAGGTTGTCCCAGGGTCCCCTGTCCCCTCTACCCACTCCCAGAGGGACGGCCCTGCAAGCGGTGGCCACCCAGACCTTGCAGGGGTGAGGCCCCGGGCTGCCGAGGAACCAAGGAGAGGCTGCTCTCACTTCCCACACTCCCGGACCCTGGGTCCCTCAGCCTCCCGCTGGCCCCGCCACCCAGCTCTCACTGACACTGGCTCTGGGGCAAGCAGGAGACTCCCTGGTGGCCTGCCAGGTTCAGGCCTGGGCTCCAATCCTGCGGGCCACTCCTGGCCTGGCCACTCCACTGCGTCTCCCAGCCCCATCTCCCTCCTGGGGACCGCGGGTCCCTGGGTTTTGTGAGGCTGAATTCTTCTCGGTTCTCAGATGTTAAGACCATCTCCTCAAAGAGGCCTCCCTGAGCCCCCGCCCCCACGATTATCATGCAGGCATTCTCTCTCTTCCTCGGGTGGCTGTGGGTTTGTTCCTGTCCAGGTGGCGTGGGCTACTTCCTGCCATGCTGTCCCTCTATCCCCAGGATCCAGGGCAGACCGGCTGGGGAAGGTCGCCGTAGATGCCGGTGACTCCAGGGGACAATCTGGGTCCCTTCTCCTCCAGGAGAGTCCTGAATTGACTTGGAATGTCGGGGCCCAGCCCCAGCTCTAAGCCCTGCTAGGTCGCTGGTGGGTCTTCTCCAAGCAGCCAGGCCCCAGCCTAGGCCCACTCTTCCAGTGACCTGAACAAAAGGAGGGTGGGGGCTGCTGTCTGGAGCAGGCCTGGGAGGGGAGCCCACTGCTCAACCCTGACAGCCCCTGCCAAACTCCCCAGGATCCAGTAGTGGGGCAACGGGGTGGGAGGGGCACGGGGGTGGGAGGACACCAGCGTAGGTGCTGGTTCCCTTGGTGGTCTGTGCCTCAGAGCCCCAGAGACACTTCTCCACTCCTCCCAGCCCCTCTTTCTGCTGCCCTCCCTCCCTCCCTCCTCCCTGTCCTGCCCTCTTCCTTCTCCTCCCTCCCTTCTCCCTCCCCCTCCTTATCTCCCTCTTTCCCTCCTTCTCTCCTTCCCTCCCTCTCCCTTCTCCCTCCCACCTTCCCTCCCTCATCTCCCCACCCTCCTCCCCAGCCCTGCCCTTCACAGCTCTCCTCTCCCTGTTCCTGAGGTTCTCTTGGTCCCTGCCTGTCTCCTTTTCTGTCTCCAGTTCTTTCCTCCCCACCTCACCCCCGTCCAAGAGAGGGGCCGCAGGGGCCAGTGGTTTGCAGTTCCCAAAGCAGTCATCCGTCTGCATCTGCGCCTCTGCAAAACTGGGTTCTCTGGAAAACTGAGGCTGCCTAAGCCTGGACCTGCAGCCCTGCTCCTCAACTCCTCCCCACCCTCCTCCCTGCTCGCCACCTCCTCTCCATCCTCCTCCCTCCTCCCCATCCTCCTCCTCTTCTTTCCTGCCCCCTCCTCCCCCCCTCTTCCCTCTCAAGCCAGTATTTTTAGCTCGCTGCTGTGCATTCGTGTGCAGGGTGTTCTCTGGCGCCTGGATGAGGTTTTATCTGTCGTGGCAGCCCCAAGGGCAGCTGGCAGACTTTTTCCTCTTAAGTTTGGAGCGCACTCCCCTCTTCCCAGGCTCGAGCCTTGGCTAGATGGGGGCTGGTCTCTCGCCTGCCTGGGTCTGGGGCCTGAGCTCGGCGTCCAGGCTGCCTGGCCTCCCCTCCCTGCCACTGCCTCCCTTGCCTGCTCCCCCTCCTCTTCCTCATCCTCGGGCCTTTGTCTCTGGAAGACACGGAGCTGCTGGAGTGCCTGCCTGCACCACACGCGGGCTCTGCAGCCTCTCGCCGCCTTCCCCTCCCTTCTCTTCTAATTTAGCCCTTTCCTTGGGCAGCCTCTCTCAAGGCTCCAATCGTTCTCCGTTTGTTCCTCTCCTTCCCTGCCTTCCTTTTTCCACCTCCTCCTTTTCTCCCTCCCCCTTTTCTCTCCTCTCCTGACACCGTTCTCCTTGCCTTTAGGGAATGGAAAAAAACCCCACAGTTGGAATGTGGGGACCCCAGCTTTACTCCACCATCCCATATTTTTTTCTGCCCTCAGCAGCCACCCCCTGGACAACAGGGTGGGGGAATGGGGAGGGCATTGTGAGAGGATTCTGGGGCTGAGGGGGTTCCTGGAGCCCAAGTCTCCAAGGCGAGCCTTCTGCAGGGCCCACCCTCATGCCCATGCCTTTCTGGGACTCCCTGGGGTGCAGCCTGGCTCTGGTGGGACCTCCATGCGGCCTGGGCAGGAGCCAGCACAGCCCTGCTCCTTCCCCAGGCCGTCTCTGCCCCTCCAACCCGGGTCCTCAGAAATTTCTTCTCCCTCCCTCTTCCCCCATCTGGCACCAACCTGAATTTACTTTTGTGAATATCACTTAAAATAATCAACCTGTTGTCCTCAGCACTTTACAGTTTGCACCTCTCTCTGCTCAGGTCACAGCAACTATGTACATTGGGCCCTATTTCACTCTCCCTGGTGATAAAGGAGGCACGTGCCCAGCACCTCGGGCACTGCCATCAGACCCACCTGAACCGGACCTAGGTCTCACCTTGCTGAGCCTTCACATGGGCACCAGGATCAATACCTTCTTGGGGCTCAGAGACTCAGAGAGGCAGTGTCCTCTGCCCGAGGTCACACAGCCCCAGCTGGTGCAGAGAAGAGGTGTTTGGGGCTAAGTGTGAGGAGCTTGCGACCTCGGGGGACTCCACCATCTCCTTCTGGGGCCGTTCTCATGCCTGTCCTCTCCCCGGGTTAGGATGGGGCCGGGACTGACGGAGCCCCCACCCTTTGCTTCCTTACCTACTCCTGACCCCCCGGGCTTTTCTGTGGGGCTGACTCGGGATGGTTGGTGGAGAAGGTGCTGCCTGTCCCCTACACTTTGTGCTGGCTTTGTCCTCCTCGTCCCATCCAAGACCCCCAGCCTCAGCACCCCTCTGTCCACCCCACTCTCTGGGCCCCCTGCTGCAGTCTGGACTCAGCTTGCCTCCTCCTCCCCTCTCCTCTCTCCCTCAGGCCTCTGCTTTCCTGATTCTGCCACCTGGGCTGGCCCCTGGCTGGGCCCCCTCCATCCCGTCTGTCGTCCCTCTCTCGGAGGGCCTCTCCCTGCAGCTGCGGCATGTCCCCTGCTCTCTGTGCATTTCCAGCACGGTCTCTGTGTCACCCCAACCCTCTGCTGCCTGTATCTCCCCCTCTCTCCCTCCCTCTCCTGTCCTGCTGTTTCTGCTCACCCCAACATGGACACATGCACACACGCGCAAAGACACACGGAGGCACACGCAGGGGCCGGTGCAGACATGCAGCTCATACACGCAGCCCATACAGTTGTTACTGCAGCAGTGGAGGGACAGAGGCTGGCCCCAGGAGGAGGCGGAGGAAGGGGACCCCCGGCCCAGTCTTGATGTCCCCAGGCCTGCAGGCGCCTCATGGTGTCGTGGAGTTCTGGGCTGGACAGGCTCCCATGGTCCTGTGGCTCTGTCTTCTGAGTCTCAGGGGCAAGAGACAGCCTTAATGGGGCCAAAGCTTCCAGAATTCTGGCAGGAATCCCCAGCATACCCGACCAGTGCTGGTCCCAGGGCAGGGACCTGGAAGTGGGCACAGTTGTGAGGGCAAAGGGGTTGGGTCGGGGCAGGGGCAGCAGAGACAGCCACTCAGCACAGGATCTGAGGGGGCAGCCACGGGGCCTGCACCAGGAGGCCCTGAGAGGTGACTGAGCCTCCATGCCTGGGTTCAGTGCTGCTATGGACGTGGGAAGCCTCCTCACCAGAGTTCCCGGGCCCTTTGTCCCCACTGCTCTCTAGGTGCTGGTGGGAGCCTGACAGTCCTGGGTTTGAATCTCACCCCCTTTCACTGGCTGTGCAACTTTGAGGGGTGACTGATCCCTTTCCCCTCCCTAAGGGGGTGATGCAGCCACCTGCCCTCAGGACCCAGTGGGGCCTCCATATCGCCAGCCTGGGGGTGGGACAGCCCGGTGCTGTAGAGTCAGCTCTGGGTTCAAGTCCTGACGCTTTCAGTAGAGGAAGGGGGCAGGGCTGGGGGTGAGCCTCCTCGCCCCGTGTGGGCCTGGGCCCTCCCCTGCAGCAGGGTCTGGTCTTGGCAGCCTTTCTTTGGGTTTGCACTGGGATCGGAGCTGGCACTGGATGTTTCCTGTTTGGGGGATTCTGTCTTAGGGGTGCTGAGTGGGTGGGGGACTGCTGGTATTGGCGCCTCTTGCTGCATGCCCGGGGCTCTCAGCCATTCTGCTGATGTCCGCTGAGTGTGGTCGGCCGTGAATTGGAGTCTGGGCAAATCTCTGGACCCATGGAGCCTCTGTTTCTTCCTCCAGAAAATGGGGATAACAACAGCACAACCCTCCCAGGTGTGAGGCTGCACTAAGAGCACCCTGGAATGCTCTGAGCTCAGCAAGTGCTGAGGTTCAAATGGGAGTGGTGGTTGTTCGCTGTTTTATCTGCTGGGCATGGCTTTAGGCATCCAGGCCATCCCTCTGCCCTCAGCCCACATGAAGTTTCTGCTCCAGAGCTGAGAGCTCAGGGACCCTGTTCCCCAGTTTTCTGTGCCTAACAGAAGATGGGGTGGGGGAACAAAAAGGGGATGGAGTCTGCACCCTCCCCAGGGCTAGAGGGGGGCCTCCCGCTGTGAGCAGGGCCCAGTCCCTCCCCAGCTCTGACACAGACCCCTGGACATTGGGAGGGTGCTCTGCTCCCTCAAAGATCTGGCTTTGCCCCAAGATTGGAAGCCAACCAAGGAGGGAGGGGCAGGGGCTCCGAGGGAGGCAGAGATGGGGAGTAAGAGGGTCACCGCACCTCCATGAGCAGGGGACAGGTTGGGCTGGAAAGATGTGAGGCCTCAGGGGCATCCTCAGAGTGCTGTCCCCAAAGTTGGGGTCTGTCTGAAGCCCGTCTTCCTCCTGTCTGCACCGCCTCCCTCCTCATGGTACCTATACCTCTACTGATTTATATTTATTTGTTTATTAATCCTCAGGCTCCCCCGAGAAGAGTGTCACCTCCTTGAGGGAAGGAATGTGGTCTCATTCTCTGCTGCATCCTCAGCACAGGGTAGGGTGCCTGGGACATTGAGGTATTCACCAACAGCTGTCGGATGAATGACTGAGTGCGGAATGAGTGGCTTCTGGGGCAGCTGGGGCTTGTGGCCTGAGAACACCAGCTCCACCTGTCCCTTTCTAGACGTGGACAGAGGGCAGATGCTGACCTGCTCGTTGATAGCCAGCCTAGGGGTGGGACAGCCTCCAGGCATGGCTACGGAGTCAGCCCTGGATTCAAGTCCTGATGCTTTCAGTAGGAAAGGGAGCAGGGCTGGGGACTGAGCCTCCCCACCCAGTGTGGGCCGGGGCCCTCTTGGGCAACAGTCTTTCTCCTGGTTTGCACTGGGGTGGGAGCCAGCACTGGATGTGTCAGGTTTAGGGGTCATGGAACCTCAATGTCTTCCTCAAAGCCTCAGGCTGAGGGCCTTGTGGGACCAGTGCCCTCACTCCCTGCTTTGGTTTCCTTGGCTCAGCCCCCGGCCACTCCCCGGTACCGCCAGTGGATCACCGTGTCGTCCCCACTCGCTCTCCCACCAAGAGATCCTTTGCACAGGCCGTTCCCTTCGCTGGGCATGCCATTCCCTCTGCTTTCTGCATGGCTGCTCCTGAGACTCCTTCCTTCCTCCAAGGCAGCTCCGCCTCCCTGCAGGCCATGCCCCGTGACTCCCTTCCACCTTTGCACTTAGCCCAGCCCACACGCATCTCTCATGTCACTGTGTTTCTCTTTGAGGGTCACTTGACTGTCTCCTTGGAAAGTTAGCTCCATGCAGATTTGGCCTGGGCTGACCTGCCTGCTGTTGCCTCCCCAAGGCCCTCACAGTATACACTATGGAAGGTACCAGAGCTTAGAGCAAGGCCTAGCATACTTGCTAGGTGCACGCAATGGTGAATGAATGGACGAAAGAACAGATGAATGAATGATGGAACAAACAAAAGTGCGAGTTTTGGGATTAGACTGCCTGGGTTTGCATCCTCACCAGCTCTGACCCTTGGGCAAATTATTTAACCTCTCTTGGCCTCAGTTCCCTCATATATAAAATGGGGATAATCACAGTGCCTACCTCATAGGGTGGTTATGTGGATTAAGCGGTTTCAGGGAGTATTTGATATCTGCAAGTGTGTAGCATATGAATATCACGTGAGATTTTTGGGCATAACCTGTGCAAACCCCAACTCTTGATGGGGTCTCAGGAGCAGCTGTGCAAAGAGCAGCGGGAATGGCATTCTGGCGGAGGAAACAGCAGCACAGGATGTTTTGAGGGGGAGAGCAAGAGGGGAAGGGAGAGAGATGGATTGGCAGTGTCAGGGAGTGGTCATGGGGGCTGAACATCCACAGAAACCGCCATGAAGAGGAGGCAAGCCAGGCCAGGCAGAAGGAGGAAGTAAACCAAGGCAGAGAGCAAGGGCTGGTCTCACAAGACCCTCAGCCTGAGGCTTCGAGAAGGCCATGGAGGTACAGTGACACCCCAAACCCCAGCCCCACCCCAGCTTCTCTTGTAGTCTTCCTCATCCCAGGAAATGGCACCTCCCACTGTTCATGGCACAGGAGTCAGGCTTGATACTTTTCTTTCTTCCACATCCACCTCTGATCCTTTCACAAATCCTGATGGCTCTACTTAAAATATATCCGAAATCCAGCCATTTTCATCTCCACTGCTCCTGTCCCCAACCGCCACCGCCATCTCCCCTCTGGGCTCTATCAGCTCCCAGCTGAGAATTCTGATCAGTTCCCCTGACTTCCCTCCATCCCCTTCAGTCTATTCTCACTCGGAAACCAGAGAGATGGTTTAAAAACACAAATCAAGCTGGGCACGGGGGCTCACGCCTGTAATCCCAGCACTTTGGAAGGCCGAGGCGGGTGGATT